CGCTTTGTCTTCAGCGATTGCGTTGGGAAGGTGAGCATCATAGAATGCCAGTTTAATAGAACAAAGTATTCTTGCATTGAGGGAGTACTTGAGTGGAGACCCAATGTCTATCTGCTACCTTAATACTAAACCTATACATATATGCACATAGATTAATTGACTATTATAAGGACAACCATCCCCGTAAAAAAATAAAAAAAATAAAAAAAAATAAAAATAAGGTCAGCTGTTCAGTGTGTAACCTGCTATTCCACCAGGGCTCCTTTGTGTAAGGCCTAGGCTTTAAAGAAATTTTAAAGAGTTGTTTAGGTTACTTAGGGTGCCCTCGTGGCATAGTGGCTATGCATTGGACTGTAATCTGCAAGATTGGCAATTCAAAACACCAGACACTCCTTGGGAGAAAGTTGGAGTTTTATACTGTTTTTAAGAGTTTTAGTCTCAGAAACTCAAAGGGACAGTTTTACACTGTCCTGTATGGTCGCCACGAGTGGCCATCAACTTGTTGGCAGTGAGTTATAGGCCATTTTGCTGCAGCCATAGTTGACCACTGTTGCTCTCCATGATACTGTTTGCAGGCTTATTGGCTAGAGTGATTTTATTATGGAGCAGTAAATTGGTGTAAAATACAAGCTCTTTGATTGTTAGGAGCAAATAATGCAGAATTTCACTGACTTTTAATTTAATACTCATGTATACCAAAGGGCTAGTTGCTAGCACTGCTATTATTTAGTCAATAATGTTTAAATTCTTCATATTTAGTGGACTTGTGCCCCTGAAGGATAGAACTGCTTTGAAAATTACTCTCCCACTACTAAAAACTAGAAAGCTAAGCAAAATAAATGTAATCGCTTCTTTTAGGCATCAGTCAGCAGGCCTTTGATCAAAGGGAAGCAAACTGAAGAAATAAGCTCTACAAATACCCCTGTTTACTCCCTAAAGGTTGTTTGAGGTGGCAGTACAGGAAGGAAAACCCAAACAAAGGCAGGTAATTTAACTGAGTTTGGAAGACAGAAATTGGAGCTTAGGGATCCAAGATGGCTAAAATTTGCAGGACAGATTACTAGAACGGAACCTAATTCATAAGAAGAATTCTAGCGATTGGCAGAGGTGAATATTTGGCTAAATAGTAATCTGTGCATACGAGGAGCAAATATGCACAAAGCATGGGAAAGACTCGGTTGGAAACATTTTTCAAATTCATCTGTTTGGATGGCTGATGCACCTCCCTCGTTTGTTTTTTCATCGCCAAATCTTAAGTTACCAATATGGGTAGAACCTTCTTTAAATGTTATGATCTAATCTATTGGTAAACTACTACTACCTGTTCCCCTAAAGTCAATTCCAGCTGATAGTAATCCCATGTTTATCAGAGTAGAACTGAATTCTGTAGAATTTCCATCTGTAGTAGATGGTCAGGCCTTTCTTCTGTAGCATTGCTGCATGCACTCAAACTGCCAACTTCTATTAGGCTCTGAGTACAGACTGTTTGCACTATCAATAATAGCATGAGTTATTGATACAGAAAGTGTATAATTTCCCCCCAAAATATTTTTTAACTTGCTATTGTGAATTAGGTTTAGTGCAGTGGTTCTCAACCTTCCTAATGCCGTGACTCTTTAATACAGTTCCTCATATTGTGGTGACCTCCCCCCCAACCATAAAATTATTTTTGTCGCTACTTCATAACTGTAATTTTGCTACTGTTATGAATCAGGTGACCTCTGAAAGGGTCATTTGACCGCAAAGGGGTCGCGACACACAGGTTTAGAACCGCTGATTTAGAGTCTGCCTTTACATATAACTCATTGTTTACAGGATGTTGTTTTGTTTTATTCATATGGTTTTGAGATTTCCCAATCTTTTAGGTTGGAACTAGATGGAAAGATGTAGTCTCCAAGTGTATCCGATGCCACTTCCAGCCACTGCTTTTGTTTTACGCAAACCCAGATGGCACAGCAGTTTCGACTGAAGATGCACTCAGGCAGGTCATCCACTGGTCACATTACAAATCCAGTGCAGAAAATATGGGTAATTCTCCCTTCTTTGATTTTTATAAGTATTTTTCTTTCATAATCACACTAGGAATGCTAATATACTGAGTATGACATATCAAATAATTTCAAATTATATTTCCAGTAGAGTTTAGGAAAACTCTAGTCCTTAGAGTTACGGTGTGGTGTGGAGCCTTTCTTCATTAGTGGCCTCGAAAGCCAAGCACTGTTATGGGCACACACATGTACAGGCGATTGCTGGGCTGGTAACTATGTCTAACAACGTACACGTTGGTATTTGAAGTCAATGAGTAAGCTGGAAAACACAAAGCAGCCACGACAACTGTGTTCATAGAGCATGTAGAGATCCTAGGTTTCAAAATAATTTTATTTACAGTGGTAGAAATAAGTGATTCAAATATCCCTTCTGGGAGGGAGAAGAAAGAAGATGATATATATTTGTTTGTCTTTTTAAGGATGCGAAAAGCCGTCAGGCTATAAGCCAGATCACTCAAAAGAAAATGGATTTGGTGATCAGGTAAAGCTGAGAGAAAATCAGAAGATTCAGACAGATAGTGTGCCATCGTTTAATCGGAGCCATGCTCAAATAAGTGGAGGTAGAGGACCAGGTATTTGTGTTTGAACTGTCATTTTTACATTGTTTCTGTGCAGTTAAACTTCCCCCTTACTTTACTAAATGAATCTAATTCTTGGTGAGGATCATGTTTATGAGGATATTACCTAGCTTTCCTTGGCTGTGAAGAGAAAATAACTAAGTAGATACTATAGAATTTTGTCTTTTGATTTCTGCATTTCTCTGAGAACTCTAGTTTGGTCTGAATATTTTCATCAGACCAGTGTTTAGTTTCTCCCTGTATTCAGAATGCCTGCAGGCCCCAGGCAATCTGGCTGGTTACCAAAGAATGCTACAATGTGACTTGTCCCTCAAGGTGTTAATAATCTACTTGGAGAACAGCAGCATGAGTTAATGATTTGGTTCATACAGCTACATTAAATTTACAGTTCGTGAACGCAACAGTAATTCAGAGTCATTATGCCTCACTTTTTATTCAGCTCGGTTATTTGTTATTATGGTCCATGCCATCATTTTTCACAGGACAAGTTCTGTGACTTGGCTCCAGATTGCAACATTAGAGTGTGTAGTAAATGTTCAGGAACTCATAAAACTAATTGTGTGTATGTTCAAGATGGTTTTATAAGTAATTTTAAATTATAGTAACTATTCAATATGTTATTGACTGAGTCATAAGACAATCTATTTAGTTAAGGATGCTGAGATCCAAAATTAACAATAGAGAACTACTTTCCATGCTTTCAAAGACTTGTGCGTTTATTCAGAAATTTTAAAAATGATCTGTATATGCTGAAAATAGTTTCTTTTACAGTTAAGTTAAACCACAGTGATCAAAAGGAAAAGATAAAAGACATTTCAAGAGAATGTGCTCTGAAAGCCATTGAACAGAAAAATTTACTTTCCTCCCAAAGAAAAGATTTGGAGAGAGGACAAAGAAAAGATTCAGGTCGACCTAGAGGTAAGTTAAATGGTTGTAACGTTCATTTTTAAGAAACCATTGCTCTTGAATCAGTTCTGACTCAGAGCAATCCTGAAGGACAGAGAACTGTTCATAGGGTTTCACAGATTAAATCTTTATGGGAGCTCACAATCTGATCTTTCTCCCAAGGAATGGCTGGTAGGTTTGAGTCAGCAACATTTAGACTAGTTGCCAGGTTCTTAGCAACTGTACCTTCCAGCATAAAAGGGACTATCAAAAATCTTATTTTAGGAAGGGATGATAAATCCAGGGTGCTGTATAGCACTGATGAACCACAGAGCTATCCTCTAATTCTTTAATATTTCCTCCCCTTGATACTTTGGGTTTGTGTTTTACCTCATTAATCATGTTAGACTTGTGTATGTTCATTTCTATAGTTAAGATCATTAGATCTATGAAAGCCAAGATGGATAACCCCTTAGAAACAGTAACATTAGTAATGTTTCCCTGAGTGTATGGGAAGAGGTGGGGGCTCGGGGTGGGGGGTGTGTGTGGAGAGGCCGCTGATAGCATTGATGACTGTATAACCCTATTCCAGGGAAGCAAACAGCAGAATAGTATGTGAATAGATATATTGGATGGTGTAAAATACAGGCAAAAAATAATAATAAATAAGGATTCCTCGGGAGCAGGGAGGGAGGGGAGCTGATATTGAGGAGTTCAAGAAGAAAGAAAATGTTTTGAAACTGACTGCGGTAGCAATTGTACAATACTGCTTGATGTGCTTGAACTATGGAATGTTATGATATCTGTAAGAGCTCCCAATAAAATAATTTTTAAAAAATCTTATTTTAAAATTAAGCCTTATAGTAAGAGTACTTGATGATATCTTTAACACATTATATTAAACTTAAAAATACAAAATTTCTTGGTCTTAATTTAATTCTAGCTGAAGAGGTTTGTGTTTTTGTTTTCACTTTACTTTCCGTAACAAATACAGCTCAGCTGTTTGATACAAAAATATTAATAAGGAAAATCATACCATTAAGTAAAAAAGTCTTCTTTCTTCCAGTCTCCAATTCTGACCCTCCCTCTGTTCTACTGTTAATCATTGTTTTCACATCATTATGAGTATTTTAGTTTTATGCTCATTTCTTTTATAGGTAGAATTATTACTGATAAGATTGTTAAGGTCAGTCGATGTACAATTTGTGCTATATGGCTTGCCTTTACCTCTTCCTTTTTGTTTTTAAACAAAAAGGAATCTACCCATAGCATAACCTTTTCTCAGAGGAATTGCTGGGGCAGGGTGCATTGATTTTGAACTTTGGTGGGCATAATTCAGTTGCTCTCCTTAAAGACTGGACCATTTTGCCCTCTCACCAAAAGTGATTGTGAATGCTTATTTCTTTATTGTTGAAATTAGTTTAATAAACTTTAGTCTATGCCAATTTAAGGTATATAAAATATTTTATTATGATTGAGGGTAGAATACTTTTAAAATATATAGAAAACAATTTTTTCTTAACTGTAAGTACCTTATAGTTGTATGTGCCCCTAATAAAATGACTTTTAAAAAAATAAAAGAAAAAGAGAAAAAAATCTCCGTTACATATAATTTTTAAAGTGACTGACCATTTCATTTATAACTGTCTCCCAATACACATAAATAGGGAGTAAGAAAAACTCTTCAAACTCAAGAGTACTTTGTCATATAGTAAGTGCTTGTTATATACCTACTGCTCTTTAGCATTTCTTCTCCTGCAAACAAGATGCTTACTTGTGTTTGAAAAAGTCTCAAGTAACTCTGTGGGAATGCTCATTTGTATCTTTAACTAATTCTTTCTTTATTTGTAAAGATCTGGTCGATGACAACATTTCCTTTTTCAAGTCTGGATCACCTCCTACCCCAAATGGTTTCAGACACTATGGGAATGCACGTCTTTACCACAGCCCAGGAAAAGGACCACGGAAACCTGACCAAATGGCTCATCAGAATCGAGCTGCTCCACAAATGCTAAGTTCAAGTAAATCACCGCTCCTTCCTCCGGGAGCGAAGCTCACTGGCAGAGTGAAGAGTGACAGTGGCGCTGGGTATGACACGGACAGTAGCCAGGATTCTAGGGAGAAAGGAAGCGGCTGTAACAGCACCAGTAAAAGCCGGAACCGAGGTTGGAAACCTATGAGAGAAACCTTAAATGTTGATAGCATTTTCAGTGAGAGTGAAAAAAGGCAGCAAAGCCCAAGACATAAATCAAATATTAGCAACAAACCTCAATGTAGCAAAGATCAGTCTTTTCACAATTGGCCAAAAGAGCATCCAAAGCAACAAGGGTTGACGACCATCTATGAAGACGAAGGAAAGCAGGAGACAGGCAGCCGGAGCTCGCTCGACTCTACTGGAAAAGGAATGGAGAAGAACAAAGGCCTCGGGGAGCCTCAGCTTCCTGGTGACAACTGGCAGATGCAGAGGACTGAGTCTGGCTATGAGAGCAGCGATCGTATCAGTAACGGAGCTGCTCACTTGGATTCCCCTGTGATTGACGGAAATGGCACAGTAGTGGATTCCAATGGTATTAAAGAAGCAGTATCCTTGAGGTAATGCTCAAATTAAATGAATGCTTTCCTCTCAATGTGCACATGAATAATTTGGAGTAATTTAAAAAATTTGGAATCAACTAAGAGTAATGAGAAGAGCATGAACTCGGAGTGAAGAGACCTAGGATGTTGTAGATCATTTGATACATGAAGTTTCTATTTTTAGTAATCATGTCATGCTTGCAAAAATAATAACTATTTTTAGGAAATGCAAAGTACTGAATTAAATTGCCATTGTTGCAATTACTGTTGACTTTTAATATATGCCACACATTTTAAAGTACCAATGTAATTTCCCCTCCAGTCAAAAAGCTCATAGTTTCTAGTGCTACCAACATACATAATACACATGCTCTCATGTCTGACACCTGCAACTCAGAACAAGAGATTTTTTCTCCCTTTTCAACGCAATCCCCTGGAAGAGACCCTTTCCTGGTAGCAAGTGTATAGGAATACAGCCAAATAACTAAGTTCGTATGTAATTAATTCTAATTAGTTAAGTCCTAACTAATTTCACATGACTGTTGGTATTACATTTGTACTTTAACATCAAAAAATGTGCACAGTTTAAGTGGCCAAGTATTTAGGTTGTTCTAGTTAATATTCCTACTCGTAATCCTTCTTAAACATCTTATTAGAATAATTGGTGTTGGATCATATTTATTATTATCACTGTTTATAGACATTTCTTATATACCTGTCTCTATGGACACGTGTCAAATTGACATGTGAATGGAACCACATTTTCTTTTAAAAAAACTTATTTAAAATCAACACAATTATATACTATTAACTTATAAATGAAACTGTGATACTATATATATAATTTATACTATTTAACATTATACAGCATGTGAGATACTGGGTTCGACTTATCATATGGAGTACTTGGGTCAGGTCAGTATGACAGTCTCCACTGCATTATCTTTACATTTATTTGATGTTTACTTTCTAAGAACTTTTTGACTATATTTATATTTTATTACTGAATTAATGTTTTCATGAATGAAACTAATTTACTGGGATTAATGCCAAATTTAGATAAATGTCAAATTAAGATAGAGCCATAGTAATTGCTATATCACACAAATTTTGAGATTAGAAGATTTAAGGGAAAATGGATTTGTCTCATTAAATGCATAAAAACCAGCATAAATGATAGGAGTTGAATGTAAACAGCTTCTGTAATTTTCATTGAGGAAACTGAAATGTTGTGTCCCGTGAATCTAGTGTTAAAAATCTAGATTGAAAAAAAATCAAGTATTAGTGCATTTAAAAAAATGATCATTGCAATAAAGCTTTGGAGAAACATTTTTTATTTGGCTGAGTCATTTCATAACATTTAATAATATTAGGGCTTTGTTTAGACAAGACCTTTAAGGATTGGATCACTTGGCTCACTTCTCAGTCTTTACCGTGAAATGAGACTAATACCTCGTTTAAGTATTGCTGTTCATGTAATGTCCCAAGTTAAATAATGGACATTAAGTCCCTAGACAGCACCTGCCTTATAATAATTGTTTAATGGATGTTAGTTCCTTTTTCTTAAAATAAACAAGATAATAAGCCACAATATTTGGTGTATTTAATATGTATTTTGTGTTATTTTCTAGTGACCAGATTAAGTCAAACAACCTAAAAACGGAACATGTGGACTGTATCTCTCAGCAGAACAAAAACCACCTGGAAGGTAAAAACTTCTTCCAAATATAATATAGTACTAAAGAATAAGTTACAGTAATAAATTATTTTCTGTTATGATATAGCTAAGAAAAATTAAGATTTATAGTTATTTTTAATAACTAGTATATCAAATCATTTTGTTCAGTACCTTGATATTTATCATGTTTCAGTAAAGCATTCATAGCAGAAAATTAGCCTTCTTCTTGGATAGGTATTCATATGTAAGCGATCCTGTAGGACAGAGTAGAACTGCCCCACAGGGCTTCTAAGGGTTGGAATCTCTATGTAGAGCAGCTATTAGGCTCTGATCTCTGACCTTTGGTCGGCAGCAGAGCATTTAACTCCGGTACTACATGGTTGCGTTGGAATCAGCTCATTAGTTCACACCCCCAAATAGAGTAGGTCGGTTGTCTACAGATGTATTTTTCACATAGGCTTCAAAAAGTTAACATTAGTTTTGTATCTCTATTTCTTTGATTAACAAAATAATTACTTTAGAACTTTGCAGCCTTTTAGGACATATTGTTTAGATATGTCTTCTGATGTCATAACATTAGTAGTATTGCATTTTTTGTTGTTAAGTGTCACCGAGTCAGTTCCAACCCATAGCAACCCTGTGCACAATAAACAAAACACTACCCAGTTTTCGCCATCCTCAAAATTGTTCCTTTGCCTGAGCCCATTGTTGCAGCCATGGTGTCATTCCATCTCATTGAGGAACGTCCTCTTTCTCACTGTCCCTCCACTTAAGCAAACATGATGTCCTTCTCCTGGGACTTTCCTGAGAACACGTCTAAAAGTATGGAAGATGAAGTCTTGCCATTCTTGCTTCCTGAATATTGAATTACTGACATTCTATTTAGATGATGCCACATATTTTTGTATGGTACTTTTCCCCAGTGGTTGGTGTTGTCAGTTTCTATCTCAGGGATCTTTATATCACTGTATTTGATACACAACCATGATTTGGTACACAGGGGAAGGGCCAGGGTCTCTCTCTACCTATGGCAGCTTGCCAACATTTTACTTAAGAGAAAGCATGTTTGTATAATTGAAAAGTAGGTCACCATCTCATAGTTGAGGAACTCTGGTCTATAGTGTTTCTGACATCCAACACCCACCTCCCCGACACACACACACATACACATTTTTATGTAACAAGTATGAGGTGAGCTGACAGAGAATGGCCAATTTTTCTTTAAGACATAAGTGGAGAATATGAGACTGCTCCTATTACTTGCTTGATGATGCATTTGTAGGAAGAGACTAGGGGGTGGGGGGTGGTAATTTGGGAGTACCCGTGTTGAAAGGATGGGTCTAGGTGCTACAGGGAATGGAAAAAGAAGGAATGGTGTCAGTCAGATAGGTTAGGTTCATGTAGAGTCCCAGACAAATGAGACTCCATATCTACATATTCTCTTCTACTTTGGTGCAGGGGGGCAGGTATGGACAGGACAGCATGGAGAATCCCATGTGGGCGCTTAAAGCATCATCTCGGAAGTGGTATGTGCACTTCTGCTCATTTCTCAATGGCCAAGAAAAATCTCTGATTCTAGCCTAACTGCAAAGCAAAGCAGAAAAGGGCCTGAAAGCTGAGCTAAATTATTAACTAATGACTACCACAGGAGGGCAGGACAAATAGATTGATCAACAGCTTCATAGAAAAGTTCAGTTTGGAAACAGTAAATGTATAATGTTGATCGTGGTTAGTTGCCAACGAGTTGATGCCAACTCCTGACAACCCCGTGCATGCAGAGCAGACCACGGCATACAGTCTTCAAGGCTGTGTTCCTGCAGCAGTAGACTGCCAAGTCTGTCTCGTGAGGTGGCCTTATGTACAGAATTGTCAGCCTCTGACTAGATAGCATTTGTGCCATCAGGAGGTACATGTACATGTGACAGTGTGCAGCATTGCTGTTGGTGATTTGTTAGCAACATAATAGCAGACTGGGAACAAAAAAAATAGGTGTTAGAACATTTACAGGACTCAAGATTGATACTAGCTGGATACGTCTGAAGAAATTGAGAAGGCTGGGTCTCAGATGATGATGAGCAAGGGGTACAGAGGCTGTCCTCAAAGAAAATGATTTCACATTTAAGGCATATCCCTTTTCATCATGAAAATAGCCACAAATAAAACTTTGTTTTTAAGCCATCATTTAAAAATCTTTTGTGGAGATTACTTACTGTTAATTGCAGATATTGAATATGATTAAACATGAAATTATTTTTGCTTTCCTCAGATCATGTAATATCAGAAGGAAATACTTTTACTAAGGAAATAGCATTCTTTTCCTATGTTAAAATGGCCTGCCTGTTTTAAAAATCTGATAAAAGTCTGCTAACCAAGTATTACAGGAAACAGTAGAGGGTTGGCCAGAAATCAGTGAAAATTGAACAATAACTGTAAATACAGTACTCCTTTACAAAGTTACTCTTACTTCCTGATAGTAATAAAACCACAAGGTCATAAAGAGTTTGATTTGCAAACGTGCAGCGCTGTAAGAGTTTAGCAATAAGTTTCCCAAGTTGCTATTTAAGGGTGTATACATTAACTATAGAAATCAGTAGCACTATTTTATAATCAATTCTTAGTGAATAAACTTCAGTCTACCATAATTTTCTAAGCCAGTTTTTGCCTTATGAGTCTTTGTTAAGATTCACATGCTATATCATTATGTGTTTCCCTCTTCATGTGTATAAGATTATGTGGGGAAATGGTGTAGGATTGCTTTTCCCTGAAAGAAAAACTTGGCCTGCATGTGTTTTTGTGTTTTGAATTTTCTCCTCCATAAGGCACAATTAGTTCATTTTTTTGAGTTGCTGGGATTCTCTTGTTTGTCTTCTGTTTCTCATTTATAAACATTATTGACCAAAAGAATCACTTTCTATGAATAGCTAATAGAAAAGCTGAGGCGCCTTACATAATAACTTTTTTACATTTGATTGACATGTAAGTCAGCTTTTTATATTAGTGTCTACAAATACATAATAATCACACTGTAAAGATTTCATTGACCATCACCTCCCCCGTTAATAGAGCTATAGACTTTTTTACCTATATCATTATGCTAGGAATTGAAAACCCATATATTGCCTAAAGCTTTTATGGGAACATGGCTGAAATTCCACAGTGCCATATAGCTTCTTCTAGCTTCTCTTTTAAACTGGATCTCTAATGGAGGAAGTTTAATACATGTGTGTATTACATAGTCAAAGGCCCCTGTAGTCCTATTGGTTAGATCTTGGACCTGCTAACTGCTATGCTGGCATTTCAAACTCACCAGCCACTCCACAGGAGAAAAGGGAGGCTGTCTGCTCCCATTTGAGAATGATGAGGGCAATGAATGTACAAATGCGCTTTACACAATTGGTGTATGTATGGATTGTGATAAGAGTTGTAGGAGCCCCTAATAAAATGATTAAAAATAAATAAATAAATAAAATGTGAATTCCTCTTGTTCCCATCAGGGGGAAAAAAAAAAAAATATATATATATATATATATACAGTCTCAGAAACACTGTTTAGGATCACTATGAGTTAGTTTTAGGGGATATATTATACTCAAGACTGGGAGAAAGAGGAGGCTTTTTTTTTTTTCCTGTAAAGAGTTAACAGTCTCAGAATCCCAGAGGTTTCTGCCCCTGACCTATAATGTTGCTGTGAGTCAGAATTGACTTAGTGGCAGTGAGTTTGTTTTTTGGTTTTATTTTCAAAGCAGAAAAAATAATGCATTAAAAAAAGCAAGTGGTCAGGAGTAAGTAATATGCATGTCAAGAATGCAGATATGTAGAAATTGTGAAATGACATGATGGATGCCCCTCCCCCAAAACAAAACAAGAACAGCAACAACACTGCCATCTATTGATTCTGACTCTTAACAACCCACATAGGGTGTCTAAGACTGACTTTCTACAGAAGCAGACAGCCATATCTTTCTCCAGAAGAGTGGCTGCTGGGTTTGAACCAACAACATCAAAGTTAGTTAGTAGTTAGGTTAACTCCTAACCCACAGTGTCATCAGGGTTCCTCGATATGACTAAAGGGAAAGAAATAAACCAAATCATAAACCTTTGAAACATTTTTTAATCCCACAGAACAATGAGGGACCAAAGGACTTTAACAAGGATAGAGGTAAACTCACTGTTGCATTTTATCAGAGTATGGTCACAATAAGTATAGACGGTAGATTTGGAACAGGGGATGATATTAGAAGGCTATTATAGTAGTTTAGGAAATAGAAGATTAAGCCATGAATTAAGGCAGTACGAATGTCAAGAAAGAGGTAAGGGATTATAAGAATAGTTTGGGTCATAGGACCAAATTTGCTTTTGTAATTGATAGAAGAGGTGGCTTCAAAAAGCTCATGGTAAAATTTCATTATATTTTCATGCCCCTTGTCTCATGAACTCTTTGAAGCCCCCTGATACAAATGAGGAAATGGGAGGTGGTTGAGGATACCCTACTTGAGATTTACACAACCAGATACACTTTTAACAAAAAGGGTGACATGGGAAGGAGCACCCGGAAAGCCCTACATAGGATCATTAAGGATTGGAACTGACGGTGGCAGTGGGTTTGTTTTTTGGGTCAAGTGTCTCTACTCCTTTTGATATATGGTTAATTTAGACAGGAATATTCACCGCGTTAAAACTGTGATTTTAGAAAGTATTCAGATTTTAAATATTAGTAGATCATTGATTAGATTTCTATTCCTTTAATGTTTAGACTTTTTAATTGCAGTAGTACCACTATATTCTGAAATTTCGCCATACAACCAGTGTGAAGATTATACTATTAGTTTTGTTTCCTTGCTGCATAAATATGTTTTAAATCTGGATTTTCAGATGAAGCATATCTTTTTTATTTCTTGAATAAGTCTTTGGGTTTTGTTGGATTCTGTATCACAATTAGCAGTGTTGCTTAAAAATTCTTACCTTGATATTGAGGGTTCTTCTGTGCCAAATGTTAAAATTGGACTTTGTTAGATTTGCAAAGAACCTGGAGCCAAAATTCCCAGTAAAGATACATAGAAGTCTATGTCAGCAGAAGAGAAAAATAACACATCTATTTTTAAGCTAGTTGGAACTCTCAAGTCAGGCCCGCTTCCCTGAGTGCCTGCCATAGCAATTTCACAGTGTGAGAGAACCTCTGCCGCCTCCTTCTGCCCAAGGTTGAGATACTTCAGTCAAAGTCAAAACATATTTTTCACATATTTTTCCTTGTGTTTGTGAAACTATTGATAAGAAGTAAAAAAAAAAATCAGTGATTAGAAAATTAACTTACATATTTTTCAAGCTTAGTACATTAACATATTTATTGACATACTTTTTGACATCTTTTTTATTATAAAATAATTGTCATAGAATAGATTTGAGCCTAAGACAATGTGTTCAATTTACAAGCAACTGTTTTCTTAAGCAGGAAAAGTACACTACTTCTAGAGAGATTCAGTGGAATAAATTAGTAAGAGCCAGGAGTTGATGGAATTGCCGTATTTTTCCAAGTCTGGAAAGTTTTCTGCATTGTACAAGGTGCAGTCTTACTACTTTTCTGTCACTCATTTCATGTGAAAATAATTGAGATTTCCTTTTCTGATAGGTTTCCACTTTACACAAATTCTTTCACAGGCCTACCTTTTATTTTTTAAATTTTATTAAAACTTGAGATAACTGGAAGGAACTGAATATCTATTATCTACCTGGTCCTTGATCCCTGAGTTTGAAAGATGAAAGGCAGGTTTAGGTATTATTTAAAGAGTAAAACCAGAATGTTTTCATGCAATTGTTTATTCAGCCTGCAGAAACAAAATTAACTTAAAATTAATTTCTGATTTCTAGTTTGCCTCATTCTGCCATCTTAAGTTTTTATTAGGAGGTATCATTTCTTGCTGTAGTTGCCCCAGCTTCCAGCATCATAGCAGCACACAAACCAGCACACTTAGGAAGGTGGGAAATACCAGGAATATGTAAATACTGTGGCATACTGAATATTAAAGTGTCATATATGAATTTTCAAACCAACAACATAAATCTTATATAGGGTCCCTATAAATTGAAATCTACTTGATGGCAGTAGGTTTTTTGTGTATATGCCAAAATTGGATATTACTTTATAATTTTAAGGGAAAAAGGATATACCATAAAGGCTAAAAGCCTGGGTTTTTTAAATACAGATCTAGTTCTGATTTGCTAGTTGCGTAGCCTAAGTACTTAACCTTGACCATGGTTAAAGGACTCTTCTGCTAATCCAAAAGTGCTAGAAGTGTGAGGCAATTAGAAGCGGCTCCTAAGAAAGGGATGATAATCTACTTCTGAAAAATCAGCAACTGAAAATTTCACCTCTGAGCACAGCTCAAGTCTGACACACGTAGAGGCTGCCAGAGACCAAAGTCAGAGTCAGCTGGGGAGCCACTGACAGCCTGTTTCCTCGCCTGTCAACTGGAAATAAGAATGGTGTCTTTACTTGGTGGTTGTAAAGGTTAAGTGTAATAATTAGGTCAACCCTTTAAAATATAACCCGGGGCAGGGAAATGTGGGGTACAACGGAGACAAGAAGTCCAGGAAGGAAAAGAATGTTTGGAAACTGATTGTGGTAGCAATTGTACAATACTGCTTGATGTGATTGAACTATGCAATGATATGATATATGTATTAACTCCCAGTAATAAATAAATAAATGTAATCAGTCAATACATTGCAAAATTAATTCTAAATGACATACCTTTAACCCCCTTAATACATTTATTCTGACATTCTTCTGAGATAGGTTTAAAAAAAAGATATCTTTATTGTATAAATAAGAAAGCTTAGTTGAGAGGGCAAGAAGCATGCCTAAAAGCTAGCAAAGAATAATTTGTGAATTCAGATTCCAGCCTAATTCGTCCATCAACAAATGGGGAGCATTTACCTATGTGGTAGATGGTATCCACCACAGCAGGGAAACGCACAGAGAGCTCCATGGAACTCAGGAGATGCCACTGCCCTGGCAGTGCTGACACCATCAAGTGACAGTCCGACAACAGAACTGTGAATTTTGCATTAAACTGCTCAGCTAGGGAAGCTATATGGAATGAGTCTTGAATTGTTTTGTTTGTTTTATTTAACAAAGGCCTTGTCTCTTTATAGAAAATTTTAATGTAAATAAGTGTACATGGAGCAGTTTCCGAGAGTTCACTTAAATATTTCTTGTTTCTTTCCCACCCAGGTTTTAGAAAAGGACTCAAGAACTTTAAATTAGGCTGTACACCTCATGAATTCCACCCAGAATCACATCTACAAATAAGAAATCCTTTAGTAAAAAGGTAATCAATAGATATTCAAATTGTTGAAACCTGTTTCCCAAAATGCATGTATTATGGGGACTCCTTTTATTTATCAGAAAGACATAAGTGTGTATCACTACTCTGAAAGTCACCACTTAATCAGGGTGTGAACTGTGGTTGCTGGCCTGCATGCGTCTGTGATGTTGGAAGCTTTGCCTCTAGTATTTAAAGTATCAACAGGCTTCAAAAGAGCTTCCAGAGCAACACAAACTAGAAAGAAGGAAGAGGCAGTCCACTTCTGACAAACCAGAAAATGCTATAGTTAGTAATACAGCGTTGTCTGATTGTGTCAGAAAATGAGCCTTCCGGGTCAGAAGGCCCTCATAATACGACGGGTAGAAAGCTGGCTCCTCAAAGGAGAGTTGACCTCAATGACGTGGATAGAGCCAAGCTTTCTAGACCCACCTTTACTCATGGCGTGACTCAAAATGAAACAGCTGCATCTGTTAAAGAAACATTAACATCTGTTAACAATCAGAATGTGGAATGTACAAAATATGACTGTAAGAAGATTCGAAGTTGTCGAAAATGAAAGGGAATGCATAAAGTCAATATCCTAGACATTATTGAGCTGAAATAGCCCATTTTCAAAAGACATTCATATAATGCACTATGCCAAGAATCACAAATTGAGGAATTGCTGTGGACTCATGGTCAAAAAGAACATTTCGGGATGCATCCTAACATGGAGTGCTGTCAGTGATAGGACAGTAGTCACAGCCCACTGGGAAGAACAGGTAATACAACTGCTGTGCAAATGTATGCAATAGCCACTGCTGCCAGTGATGATAAAACTGAAGACTGTTAACTTCGCAGTCTGAAATTGGTCAAACATGAAATCAAGATGCATTGATAATTACTGGTGATTGAAATGCAAAAGTTGGAAGCAAAGCATCTGCAGTTGGAAAATATAGCCTAGGGCATAGAAACGCCAGAGACCCCATGATAGAATTTTGAAAGACCAACAATTTATTCATTGAAAATACTTTTTTTTTTGGTAACAACATAGACACTTATAATACATACGCCTCACCAGGAATCAAATTAACTACACCTGTGCAAAGAGACAGTGGGGAAGCTCACCATCAGAACAATGGCAAATCCGACTATGGAACAGCCCATCAATTGTTCGTTCCTATGCAAGTTGAAGCTGACGAAAATGAAGACAAATCTATGAGAGCCAAAAGGTGGCCTTGGGTATATGCCGGCTGAAGTAAGAGGCCATCTCAAGAGTGGATTTGGTGCATTAAGCACTAACGGTCACAGATCAGAGGCGTTGTGGATGGGATCAAAGACATTATACATTAAAAAGACAGGAAAGAGCAAAATGAATAGCAGGAGAATCTGAAAGTTTCTCTTGTAAAAGAACTAAAGCAAAAGGAAGAAATGAAGCAAAAGGGCTGAACAGAAAACTTCAAAGGCCTGCTTGAGAAGACAAAGTAAAATTTTATAATGGAACGGGGGAAAACAACAACGTGGAGTTAGGGACCAAAACAGAACACTCACGTTTGGCAGTTCTCAAGCTAAAGAAAACAATCAGTCCTTAAACTGCACTGTTAAAAGAGTCTGTGGGCAAAATTGGACCACCTAATAGCAACCAGACAAGATAAAAGGAGTACACAGTCACTGCAGCATAAAGAATTGGTCGACTTCAACCATTTCAGAGGTAGCAATGGTCAAGAACCTAAGGGATTGGAGGAAGAAGTTCACACTAGTGAAATGAATAGCAGAGAATGAGACTCTAGGAATTGATGTAGTGCCAATTGAGATACTTCAACAAATGTATACAGCACTAGAGGCACTCACTCACCTATGCCAAGAATTTTAAGAGGCATCTAGCTGGCCAGTGAACCCTCGCCACTTCGCGCTTCGACTTCCGTGGCTTCACTCTATCGCGGTTTTTGTGTAACAGCGCATGCTGTGTCATTACTGCCACTCATTGGCTCATACTGTACATACTTCTGTCTACATCGCTACGTATCAGATGCATTTTTGCTTTTGTACAGTGT